CCCCCCCCCGCGTCGCTTACTGCTGATGCAGTCCCGGTAGATGATCATGGCGGCGGTGCCGGCTGAAGGGGTAGGGGGGGAAGCGGTGGCGGCGGGGCCCGGTCTCTGCGCAGCGACCCGAGAGCGGGGCGGGAGCGAGGCGGAAAGGGCCGAGTCAGCGGCTTCCGGAGCTCATATAGCGGGCACGTCCCTTCACGTCATCAATCCCCGCGCTCCTCGGGGCGCCGAAAAGCGTGACGTAGCGCGCAGCGTTTCACCGCCCGCCTAGTGCACGGGCGCGCGCCCCCTAGCGGCCAATCAACGGCGGTTTGGGCGGGGCCGGGGAATCCCCGCTCTGCCCGACCCGGAAGGGGGCGCCCCCCCAGGCTGCCACGGGGGGAGGGGCATGGCCGAGCCTTGCGTTCGCCAGGAGGCCGCGAGCGCTCCGGGGTGGTTTCCGCGTCCACTTGCAGGGGTGGGCTGAAGTGGGAGCAGGGGCAGCCAGCTCTGAGCCCCGGGGCAGCAGGGGCCAGCCTCTCCCGCTGCCCCTGACTCCAGAAGTTTGGCACTACCAAATTGGCAGCATTAACCCCCCCATTACCCCCCCAAGGGCTGGAGGGTGAGCACCCTGCTCCCAGGAGCCTGGTGCAGCCCCTCCGGAGGGAGTCTGCCTCCACCTGTCCCCGAAGGGGCTCCACGCGATGGGAGTGGGTGGATTGGGGGCCCGAGCACATCGGCTGATCCAGCACAAAGGAAGATGCCATAAATGCAAATTCTGCCAAGGAAGGGAGCAGTGATTCTCAGCCTGGGTGCTGCCGCAGCCCCCTGGGGTGCCACGGAGCCCTTTTAAGGGTGCTGTGGGGCACCAAGCCAAGATGCCGACGCAAGATGGGCTCAGAGGTGTCAAATGTCCATGGCATCAAAACCGGTCTGTGATCTTTCTTGAGGTGTTTGTTACAAAAGAATTGTTCCAGTTGTTTTTCCCCGTGGTCAAACGCAGGAAAGCGAGGAGCTGGCCTTTCCTGAGTGGTGCTTGGACTCTAAAAGGGTTGCGAACCACTGGAAGAGACGCTCGGGATGTGATCTGACCCAGGCAGAACCCCGAACTTCCTGCCCACGGAAGCCGTCAGACAATTCCCATGGACTTCAGTTGGGTCACGATTAGGCTCTCAGACTTAATTTCTGACTCTTGAGTAACTTTAGACAACATGTGTGTGATAAAACTGTTGCCAAATCTGGGTGTACTTGTAACCCCTCAGAATTCACCAGATGATTCATTTTACGTGATGACTCCTGTGCTTCGGGGAGTTTACTGAGTTTGTGAGTGTAAAACAGTGACGCTGTTATACCATAGTACTTTCTGCCAGCTTGAGCAACAGATTAATAAAGACGCCTCTTGGCTGGCTCCATTTAAGCATTCACACTGCAGTTACCTGAGCCAATGGGAAAAAAAGGAGGCCAAGCATGAAAGACCAGGGAAACCCAGGCTTTATTTTTCCCTTTTGTTTTGTGATGGGGGGGCGGGAATTATGCTTGTGTGGATGGGCTCTTTCCTGTGCTAATGCACTGATAAATGTATACCTGGTAGGTCTCCAAATCCTACTTTGTGTTTAGATGCCCATTCACATCTATTATTGTTTCTGAACATGCAAGCCACATCATAAAATCAATAGACAGGGCCCTTCCTCAAAGAGCAGATACGCTAAATTTGACTTGCCGTGACAAAGGAGAGGGTCCTAAGCAGAGAAAATAGCATGCCAGTGCAGTTACTCAATAGGACTAATACGATGTGTGTTCCTCATGATTCAGGTTCTTTGCTGTGGCTTTTGTGATTCCCCTTTATCTTGCTTACCCGTTCTTCTCCCTTTAGCTTTATGCCTGAAAGCTGCTCAGTTTGGCAGTTTCTGCTCAGACTTTTACTTGAGATTAAGGGGTTTGCACCGGTGACCCTGATTCTCCTCTCATTTAACTTGAGGGGCAGATCCAGAGGGGAGTACGCTGGAGTGGCTGCACTCCCTTTTTGGATTGCACTGCACCACAGGAGCCTCTAGGGACTTTTTAATATTCCTAAAACATATGAAAATCCTCCATCCCTTCCCCTTCCTGCTCAAAGGCATTCCCCCTCCTCTGACCCTTCCCCACCTCCCCTACCTGACTTTTCCAGAGATGTTCCTGCCCCTTGCACAGAGAAGCTGGGCTCAGCTGGGGGCTGAGACAATGGCAGCATGGGTGGATGGGGCTCCCCTTCCTTGTGCCTGCTGCGGGAAGGACTACTCTCCTGCCACACTGCTGTCCCCGCCCCAGATGAGCCCAGTCTCCGCTCAACCTGGCTGGCTCTGGAGCTTCCCCAATCCTGAGCAAGAGATTTTAGGAGGAAGGGAAGGGATGTGCGTCTGAGCGGGAAGGGAAAGAACAGGGCTTTTCACCCTAAGTTTTAGGGAAGTAAAAATGTGCCCACAGTGATGTGGTTGAAGGAGGCTGGGAGGAGGGGATGCAGCCACCCCTGAAGTGTGGGTTGCTACTCCCATACACTCCCCTTTGTGCAATCCTGGATCCACCCAGCCTGTGGCTTCTGCTGTACCCCCTTCTTAAAATCCTGGATCACCCATGATCCTGACTTACACTGTGGGGGAAGAGGCAGGAGGAAGAATCCTTGACTTCCTTAGCCTAGGGGTGGCGGGGGGTGGGCAGTGCAAGCCAAGATCTGGAATTCCTACAGGAATAAAGATGGCTAGTTGGATAATAGTTGACATTGTACAGGAACTGTGAATTAGGTATACCACAGGGATGAGCAGTGATGCCAATTGAACCTGAAGGAACTGGGCTGGTATGTCAAAAATCCAAATGAGACCAACAATGTAAGGGAATGTAAGGCTGCCCTCACTCTTGAGGCTACCGTGTAGAGCTGTACACCACATTAGCCAAGGACTCTGACCACCATGTGAGAGACACCAGGCACCCAGAGGGCACAGAGGTAGATAGAACTTGCTGAGGAAGTGGCTGCAGAGGGAACACCCGACCCCTCGGAGATCTAGGAGCTACTCACTAATCAGCCCAGCCAAGCCAGAAAAGGGCAGGGAGCTCAGGTCCGTTTGTTAAACCTTAGTTCTTTCCTTTTTATAAAAACTTTCTTTGCAAGCCTTGAAACCTCCTTCTGCTTTGACTTCCTGTTGCAGAGCATTCAGGTGCCCTGCACCTGAGAGCAGAAACAGCTCAGGAGAGACCCCTAGTGGCAAGAAGGGGGAGCCCAGCTGCCAGTTACCAGGGCAGCCAGTCACAGAGCTTTTTATGTTATAGCCCAGGGGCTTTGTGTTTTTATGTTTGCTGTTTTAACCGGAGGACCGGGTAAGGCTATTAGGGGTTGGAGGAGGCCTTATAGGGGCTCCACGGTAGCGTGGGGACCCTGGCGCCAGGGAGGGTGCGTCATTTTGGGGTGCAGTGAGGAGCTCCAGAGCAAGGGGGGCAGTAAGGAGCCCCAGAGCAAGGGGGGCAGTGAGGAGAGGGCCAAATCACAGCAGGGCCCAGGTCAAAACCACGTCAGTACCATCTGCAAGGCTTGGGCTGCGGTGTAGGGGAGGAAAAGGAGCCGCAGATAGTGCCCTCTGGCACTGGGGCACATAAAGTGGGCAGCCTCCCGCTAATTAAATCAGTCAATTAAGATCAAGGCATGGCAGGCAAGTAAGCAGGTGGTTGGCCCATAACAGGAGGGCGGAGTCACCCATAGGAAGGCTCCAGTAGCAACACTCCTGTCACACTTCCCCTCTTTTGCTTTTCCTGTCTCCTTTCAAAATGGTGGCTTTCCACACCTGCTCAGAGAACAAAAAAATTGTCCTTTAAAATAGCCAGTTTATTTTTTAAATCATACAAGTAGTAAAGAGAGAGACTAGCAGAATCATTAGTAGCCAGCAGCTCTTGGCAATGAGATGCGGTTTCTACATGTCTAAATTAATGTATTGCAAATGTAAATTGAGCTATACTGTGATCACTGATCAGGTCCTAAAAGTATAAAAATGAAGGATATAGGACATTTAAAATAATCTTTTAAAGCAGTCTAGTAACTGGCAGTCAGACTGCAAGACATTTGAAAGTAAATGTAATGTAAACATTGCAAAAGACTGTTCTTCCAATTGACCAAGTTCAAAACAAATCACACTTATGTATTACTTGGATTAAAGAGCAGAAAGAGGTAGAGATGGTAGTTCAGTAGGCTTCCATTCACTTTGGGCAAAAACAGATGTGGGATTTCTCCCAGGACAAAACCTTTTTCTGGGATCCTGCAGACATACAAGCTCTTTGTCACACTTTAAATACTTGTGAAGTATCTGATATCTGAGCAGAGTATAATTGGCACATGGTCTGCTCAGCCTAAAAATGGGCATAAAAAACTCAGATCTCTCACTTCCCAAGTTCTCTAACCACAAGGATAACTGCATGAAGTGATTATAACCTCATCTAGCTCTAAGGCAAGCAGCCTGTGCTGTCAGTGTGCTAGCCACAATAAGTACACCTACCAGAGCAGGCCCTTTAGGACTGTAGTAGGCAGATGTTCAGTAGCTGGTGAACCTTATTGGATTATTGAGATGGGCTGAGACAATCTGCTCAGCCTCTGCCCCTTGAAATGTAGACTGGAGTGGTATAGACCCATGAAAGCAATTGTGGGCCTGTCTTCCACCAGTATCCTTTTGGCTCTTGCTTCAGATGTGTTATTAGCATGAGCCAACAGAAACTTCCTGTTTACCTGGAAATCACTCCGGTAGGTAATGTTTTTTGGAAACAGTTTAGGCTTTTGGCTGTTATTTGTGAAGTATTGTGATCTGAGCAGAGTATAATATATGCTAGTGGCACATGGTCGGTTTGCTTTTGATTTTATTATATTACACAAGGCTCATCCTGGAATGTAGAGAGGGTGAATATAACATAAATATTTCAGCAATAATACTGAAACTAATTGGTACTTAAAATATTGTCATTGGTAATTTTGAATTCCTGATCAAGACTGGTCATTTTCCTAGTATGGAGGGGCTTTCAGATTGCTGTTTAAGGCCTTGTCTATATTTAGATTTGAAGAAGTTTAATAAGAGGTATGATTTTAAACTGAATTATAGTTGAGTATGTGCAAAATGTTATGCAAACATTCTTAATTTGATTTGGAGCTGAACCTAAGTCAATATAAAGAT